CATATGCACATCTAGGAAGCAAAAAACTATTCCACAGAAGGGGGAGGTCTTGCTAATCATGTACAAGATGAAGAACGTGTACCAAAAATATATTGATAAAAGAAGACAAACAATCAATGTAAACATAGGCAAAGGATCTTAACATTCCCCAAAGAAGACACACTAAGAAAAACATGAACGGATGCTCAAATAGTTCCTCATCAAAGCAGCACAGACCCAAACAACAAGAAGATACTATTTACTCAATAAGACCAGTGGTAACTAACTAAAAAGATACACAATAACAAGTATAAGTGAGGATCCAGGGAAACCAAAACACTTACACACTACTCTAGCTAGGAACACATAATAGTACAACCCATTCTGAAGACATTGCATGCATTCAGAAAGTTAAATACAGAGTTACCATTTAGTCCTATAATTCTACTCCTAGGGAGCTAAGAAAAACAAAAGGATGCCCATACAATATCATTACTTGCAACAACCAAAACATGGAACAACCCTAGTAGCCATCAAATGACAAATTAATAAATAAAATGTGGTATACCCATATAATGGAATATTATTTGACAATAAAAAACTAAGTGTGCCAAGTGAAAATAATCAAAAGGAGAGTGTGTGTGTGTGTGTGTGTGTGTGTGTGTGTGTGTGTGTGTGTGTGTGTGAAATTATTTCTTTTCTTTTTTCTTTTTTGAGACAGGGTTCTAAAACAGCCAGGGCTGTCCTAGAACTCACTCTGTAGACCAGGCTGGCCTTGAACTCAGAGATCCACCTACCTCTACTCCTGAATGCTGGGACTAAAGGCATGCGCCACCACGGCCTGACAAAAATTATTTCTATTTACATGAAATGTTCAAAATAAGCAAACCCATAAAAACAGAATACAAATTAGTGTTTGCCTGGGGTGGGAAAAATAGGAAAGTAACTGCTGATAGGTTTGGCATTTCTTTTCAGTATGATGACAAGATGCCTTAATTTGTGGTGACAGTTGCACAACTCAACAAATATACTAAAAACCACCAAATTAGTACTTTAAATAGGTGAATCGTGTGGCATACAAATTATGTGTCATAAAGTTGTTTTTTTTTTTAAATTATATACATATGTATGTACATATGCTATCCCCTAAATAGAAAAACAGTACCTCGGTAGAGCAATGTTGAGCAAAGGCAAAGGATACTGTGTTATAGATATTACTAGATGATTCAGTCAATGGTTCCCAGCACAGTTCAGACAGCTACATATAAATAGCCCCAAAGACTGACAGTCCTTGGTTCTCCAGAGTGCCTAAACATGGGTCTAGTGGGGAAGCTAGAGTTGTAACGTGTTTCCAATTTAGTCTTATATGTATCCAGAGTTGTAACATGTTTCCAATTAGTCTAATATGTATCCAGAGTAGTAACATGTTTCCAGTTTAATCTAATATGTATCCAGATCTTGGAGCCACCAGGCCGCTAAGGCCTTTGCTGGGTGTCTTCATGATTCTATGGTATCTGAGATGCTTCTGGCCCTGGTATAGATCCTAGCATTTTGCACATCTGATTCTTTCACAGAACTCACCTCTTTCAATGAAGATTCTGAGCTTAGGAAGAGGAGGCTTCAGCTGGTGTTTGAAGCCCGCATTTATGTCTCTTTCCTGTACCCATGTCCCTTATTTAAGCCACCTACTTTTTGAGGAAGAGCCAGTCTAAATAAGAATAAACTTCTCTAAAACTTTGTTTCTCAAGCTGGAAAGTTCCATTTTTCTTAACCATTATAATTTAATATATTGTTACATAAAAATACAGATATATCACAGAATCAGGTGTAATTGTTTTCATGAATTTTAATGATGAAGCCCAATAGCTTAAAGCAACTTCATACTTGTCAAAGGACATATTTTGGACTGTGGTCCCAGATTGTAAGGGTGCAAACTCCCCTTCTATACTTGGTGCTTCGTGTAGAAAATCTTGAGAAGTCAGAACATTGGTTCTGTTTCCCACCCTACAGGTAATAAGACGAAATTCCCTTTCATTCAACATATAGAGAAGTCAGCGTGGCTAGCCCTCTTCAAGAGAAGAGGAGGGGAGTCTGGGTTGACATAACTAATTGTGAACCTATTAATACTGAGGGAACCTATTAATACCCGGGCGCAGGCTGTGCCTACAGAAATGGCTGTGGGGGATCTGGGTTACACTTTATTCTGTCCAAGAGTTTCAACTAGACAGGTATCAAGTGTGCACATTTACAAGTGTGCTCTGATTGCCTCACTCAGCATGTCTGACCCATTGGTCCATGTAGCAAGCCTTCTTGAGGCTCTCAAGCAATTATCACTAGGGAGAAAGTGCACCCCTGAATTTGCAATCTTCCTCTGAGATCCAGTACACAGTTAGTTGTCCACACACACACACACACACACACACACACACACACACACTCTTTTTTGCTTATTTCTCAAAGGCATTTATGAGAACTTCACTCTGAGATGAAACATCATCAGAAGAGTGGAATTACCATATCAGCTATGCTATAGAATTCTATAAATCTACTAGAGTTACTTCAGTACTAAAATAGAAGAGTGGAAGACGATGAATCTTAGGGCCCTTTCTAGCTCTTCAATTCTCCATTCACCATGCTTGCCAATACTTAAGACATACACTGAAATTTGTAAAGTCAATTCCAAAAACAGGCTGGAACACTCTTATCCTTTCCATCCCAGTGATCTCTTATAATATCTAATGCTTTCTCTCTGCCATAGATTTTATTCCAACAATGCTCAGTCTGGTCTTAGATGTCTCCCTCATTGATCACACAAAGCACATTTCCATCAGTTCTCACTCTGTTCTTTTAGTGGCTCTTGACCAGCATTTGATATACTCCACCAATGTCCCTGTGCTGGTTACTTTTGTGTCAACTGGACACAAGCTAGAATCATCTGGGTGGAAGGACTATCACCTGAGAGACTGTCTCCAGAAGACTGGTCTGTAGGCAAGCCTGTGGAGCATTTTCTTGATTAGTGACTGATGTAAGGGGGCCCACACCATTGTGGGTGGTACCATCCCTGGGTAGGTAGCCTGGGGTGTGTTAAAGAGCAGGCTGAGCAAGTCCAATAAGCAGCACTCATTCATGACCTCTACATTAGTTCCTGCCTCTTAAGTTCCTGCCTCGGGTTCTCACCCCCAACTTCCCAAGGTGACAGTTATAAGCTTAGAAGATAAAATAAACCCTTTCCTCCCCAAGTTGCTTTTAGTCATGCTGTTTATCACAGCAATAGAAACCCTGTGACACCAACAAATGCATCTAAACTTTGTAGCCCTCTTTTGTGTGAATGTACTCCTCAGCAAATCCACTGGTACTCTTTTCTACAACACATCATAGGAACCACAGCTTCAAATGTGCTTCAGTCATGCACCTACTTGGATTCTCTCAGACTTCCCACTTTTTCCTTCACCTTTGAAGGATGACGACAAATATCACCTCCTCTACACAGTTTCTTCTAATCACCTACTGTAAATTCCAGGGACACTTGGAGTCTAATGTTTCTTTGGCATCTGGTGTATGCCCCTCTCCACTGGGCAGAGTTAAGACATGGAGGGACTGTACAGTAATGCTTAGGTCAAATCTACTGCCTCTGAACTGGGGTAGATACCAACTCCATAGCTTCTAAGGAGGCAGCATTTAACTAGAAATTCACAGCTGTGTGAAATTTAATGTAATTCTTTAGGCTTCAGATAGTACCTCACTGTCTTAGAGTCTCCATTGCTGTGAAGAGACACCATGACCACGGCAACTCTTATGAAGGAAACATTTAATTGTGGTGGCTGGTTTACAGTTCAGAGGCTCAGTCCATTATCATCATGGCAGAGCATGGTGGTTTACAGACAGACATGGTACTGGAAAGGTAGCTACTATATCTTGATATGCAGGCAACAGGAAGTAGGCTGTCTCACTGGGTATGACTTGAGCATATATTAGACCTTAAAGCCCACCCCCACAGTGACATACTTCCTACAGCAAGGCTACACCTCCTAATAAAGCCACTCCCTTTGAGGGCCATTTTCTTCCAAACCACCACAATTGCCTTTAAATGGGAGATGGAGGAGTAGGGGACTTCCAAAGTAAGTCATTAAACTACAAAATATACAGTTTGAATGAGTCAAAAAAAAAAAAAAACTCCAGAAAACAAACCAAGAAAATAGGTTTAATCAACAATTAAACCTCTTTGAAGAGTATAGCTATTACAGCAGATTTGAATTTGGAAAATGAAAGAAAGAAACATTTAAACAAAATGGCACCTGTTCTTCATCAGTCATGCAGAAAACCCAACTGCTAAATAAATTGCATATGCTCTGCCAGATATCATAACCCCTTTCCCCTAATGGTAAAATTTCTTGCTTTAATTCCAAAACAGCTATATTTCAATTACAAGGTTTGAGTATGCCTTAACACAAAACATACAAACTAGTCTTTCTCTTGTGATGATACTAAAATAAGAGATGGGCATGTACATCTTTTACTTCCACAAAAAGGAGGAGGAGGAGGAGGAGGAGGAGGAGGAGGAGGAGGAGGAGGAGGAGGAGGAGGAGGAGGAGGAGGAGGAGGAGGAGGAGGAGGAGGAGGAGGAGGAGGAGGAGGAGGAGGAGGAGAAGAAGAAGAAGAAGAAGAAGAAGAAGAGCCTCCAAAAAAAAAATCAAGAAACACTCTTCCAACCAGTATTTTGTTGAAGTGTTAGTAACTGGAAAACTGACTGCAGGCATGAACTATCATATTAAAATAAAGAAAACATCTTCAATGTGTGTTTAAATTGAAGAAAAATTATTTCAACCAATACTGTAGAGTTAATTTGAAGTGGCCCCAAAGTAAAACTATGATGAAAAACCTCTCTTGTTTAACTATTTTGACACATGAAGAGTTGCATTTATTTCACAGAGGAGGAAAGCCACAATTGACTAAGCAATTATCCAATGCCAATTTTGTCTTCTTTTCAACAAGGACCATGAGAGTGAGCCTATAATACTCACATGTAGAGCAGAGGGGTCTGGCAGGAACTCAGCATCCTCTCCAAAGATGAAATCAGGGGGCAGCTCTGGGTACTGAGCATTGAAAATGATGTCCCCTGAAATGTAAAAAAAATGACAGGCTCTTATTCTTTTGCAAATGGACATTCTGAAGAATGCATCAGAAAAAAAAAACTTGAAGACACTTATATTTAGGTTAAGAAACAATTTGAAAAGTACTTTCTGAATGATTAATTCTTCAGATAAAAGAACTGATATCCTCTTTGAAATTACCATCCACAATAAGCAATCAGAAAAGTGCAATACACTATGAATATAAATACCCGAGTAGGAAAGTAAAAGCAGCCCCATGCAATGCACATGCTGATTATTTTTTACAGGAAACACAACTGCCCAATCACTGCCTGCTAATTAAGAAGTCTTTACTGAAAACTGACTCTGTACAAATACAGTGCTTGACTTGTAGAAATTAAACAACATACCTTTGATATAATGGAAAAGGCATCTGGCTTGAAGTCAAATAGGCTCAGTTCTATTTCCAGGGTCCCCTAATCACTATTAACTTAGAGAACTTCAGAAGACTTTGGCCACTTGCCCTTCTGTTTCTTTATCAGTGAATGATTGGTACAGTGGTTCAATGGTACAGCAGCACAATGACACAGTGACACAGTGGCACAGTGGTGCAGTGGTGCAGTGACACAGTGGTGCAGTGGCGCAGTGGCACAGTGACACAGTGGTGCAGTGACGCAGTGGCGCAGTGGCACAGTGGTAGAGTGGTGCAGCAGTGCAGCGGTGCAGTGGCACAGTGGCGCAGTGACACAGTGGTAGAGTGGCACAGTGGTGCAGTGGCGCAGTGGTAGAGTGGCACAGTGGTGCAGTGGCGCAGTGGCACAGTGGTGCAGACATAACAGATCTACTTTGTGAGGCAAAGAAGGCAGACACAGTGGTGCAGTGATGCAGTGGTGCAGTGGCGCAGTGGCACAGTGGTGCAGACATAACAGATCTACTTTGTGAGGCAAAGAAGGCAGTGTGCTCAGCACCATGTCTAGCATTCAGTAAGCTCTCAATGAGCTCCAGTAGTGCAATCAGTTAGTGTGTGGTACTTATACAGTAAGCTTTCAACAAGCCATACAGAAGTGTCATGTTGATAGTGGTGATGTTCTTAAATGTAAAACAGGATTTGGAGTCTTGGGGACACACTAGAGTTGTAAGGTCTCCATGTCTATTTCTTTCTGTCTCCTTATTCAGTTCCCGTGTTCTCTCTACTCACCCAAAACTTTGGTCTTCATCTTTCTGCTAATACTAATCAGCAGATTAGTTAGCAGACAATCTAACACACACTGGGCTGTATTTTTCATGGTGTGTATGTTTCTATACACATACACAACACAGTTGTCATTCCATTCACATCCACTGTTCAAAGGATGAGATTTGCATACTGCTACCCAAAATGAAACCCTCCGGCTTCAGTTCTAAATTGAGCCCTTACATCTGTATGCACCAGGCATTTCACGTCAGGCTCAGCAAGCATAAAGATGTGATTGTGATGGCCCATGCTCTCATACTCTAGAACACAAGCTGTCTCAATAGTTCCTCCAAATGATCCTAACATAAACTGTCCCTGCTGCTCTCAGCACTACGCAAGCCCAGCTCAGCCTATCCACACATTCAGAATTTCACTAAATAACAAACTTAACTTTGTTCTACGAACTGCACTAGGCAATAAAACCAAAGAATTCTGCTAATAAAAACTGAAACACTAAAATAACTCAAGCATACCCTCTTCTATAGTAGTCTAGTACCAGCTGCCCTCCAGTCTACAGTATACACTAATCCAGAAGTAACTCTTATCGAAGTACTGTATTGCCTGAAAACTTGAAACTCAGAAAATATCAATAATTCTGCCATGTTCAATATAGTAAAGGCAAGCATTACCAACTGGTACTTAAAGCCTCCAAAATACGATGTTCCTCCCAATTTATCCACCCTTTGTCAGTCTACAAGCCAAAGAAAACCATCAGTTCTGGCCATTATGATCAACCCAATGACTTCCAAATACTATGGCACCCAGGTCAAATGGCTCTCCTCTTGCTCAGCTTACACTGCTCATGAGCTCAGTCCAATTACCTTCTCCTGCAGAGTGCCTCCCCTCATAAATCTACAAAATACTGAACACGGTTACTTCTGAAATTCATCAATATTGCTTGGCTACAACATCGCTTGAGTAATTGATTATAGTCTTATACTGTTTCGTGGCTCTATTAATTTTAAAAATTATAATAAGCAGGAGCTACATATGAGGAACCACTCTGTTCATTTAAAAAATGTTCATCCTAAAGGGGCTCACATTTAGTGTTGGAGATAAGAACAAGACAGAACCTTCTAGACACAACAGGACTGATGTCCATGTGAACAAGACTGTGGCAGCATACACAGAGCTTGTACAGGTCTAAGCCAGATGGAGTCTCAGTGCTGAGAGGGAAAGTAGACACAGCTTCTTCCCCCCCTCCCCCCCCACCTCCAGCCTAAAAGCTATATCTCCAACTGATAGCCACTCACAGGGGAAAAAAAAGTTTTCTACAGTGGAGTTTCACTGGGGATACAAACCACGCTTAAGGGCAGACCTCATGCCTGGCAGTAGATGACCAACACAAGACTAACTCAATGGCAATTTTGTCTCACTTTGTTTTGTCTAGGCTTCTTTTCTTTTTTTTCCCCTTACAGGTCTTCTGCTTGATATATCATGGTTTCTAGTTGTATGTCTTTGTGGACTTTCTCTGTATGTGAATGTATGTGTCTCTGTGTCTGTATGTGTTTCTTGTGTTCCCCTCTCCCAGAGCTTTTTTTTTTTTTTTTTTTCCTATTCATTGTAGTCAGGTTTGTTAGTTTTCATTTTATTTTTTTAGGTACCCATTTGTTTTCTAATGAGAGAGAGCAAGAAAGGGTATGGGTTTGGGTGAGTGTGGAAGCAGGAAGGATGTGGGAGGAGTTGGCAGAGGGGAAACCTTAATCAGGATATATTACATGGAGGGGCTGGAGAAATGGCTCAGTGGTTAAGAGTGCTGATTGTTCTTCCTAAGGGACCCAGGTTCAATTCCAAGCACCCACAAGACAGAACATAACTGTCTGTAACTCCAGTTCCTGGGGACCTGACACCCTCACATCGGCAGGCAAAACACTAATGTTCAAGAAATAAAAATAAATTTAAAATTTTTAAAAATAATGCATTACATGGAAAAACCTATTTTCAATTTTTAAAATGTTAACCGAGGGAGGGAAGGAGGGAAGGAGCCCGGCAAAGAATGGCCTATAAACAGTATATAGCAAGTACATATACTTGATCTTCCTACATATATTCCAAGCATCCAGAGAATGTATGTGTTCTTATGCTCATTTCATGTATCTTACAAGACAAAGTGCAGCTCACAGAGTATCTTTTTTTAGAAATGCTCAGAATATGAAAGGGGGCCTCACTTCTCTGGATATCTAAGTGCAGAGAAATCTACAGTAAATAACAAAGCACAGAAGTTACATACAGAGCTTGGGGGGGGGGCACAACTAAGCTTAAACAAGAAAATGCACCTACAGGAGATGGGTGCAGAATCAAACCATCACAAGTAACACAAGCACCACCTCCTCTACAAACCCTCACATCACTATTCCAACTGCCAAGTGCATCCTATGAATCATAACCTTCAATAGTGCTAAGTCTGAGACATGGACAAGAACCTCTAGAAGAGGCAGCATGAATGCCCTCATGACTCATTCTACCCACACAGACCAGCAAGCATGGCTCCTTAAGAAAAGCACACAGTTCATTAGAAATGTGTCTTTCAGGTTGCTGAGTTAATCACTTTTAGAATGTTTTTCATTAAGGTAACAGAGCACAGGTATCAGGCGTTTCAGGGAAAGCCAAGCTAGAATGTATTGGGAATTGATGCTCAGAAACTAACATGCTAAATTCCAACAAAAAGGCTGGGAGCAGCAGGGCTCAGGGAAAACCACCTCCCCAGAATTGGTGATTCTATTTCAGTGCTGTACTGGAGGCTCTGGCCAGGGAAGTAAAGGGAGATAAAAAGCATCTACACTGGAGGGAAAGAAAAAAGGAGCCAAAAGACCTCTGCCCATAGGTGATATAAACAGCATATGGTAAATCTTAGCAAATTCATGAAAAATATGAACTAATGAGCAGTTTCAGAGAGTATTTCAGACACAAGACAAATGGGAACAAAACAACTCCATTTCTGTATACTAGCAAGGAACAACCCAAAAATTAAATTGAGAAAACAATTCCATTTACAGTAGCATCAAAAAATCTGTTTAGGAATAAATCTAAAGGATGAACTTTAGTCACTGGAAACCATAAAACACTGTTAAAGGAAATTATAAAAGGTCTAAGTAAATGGGAAAATGTCTTCACAGATCCGAACACTTAATGTTGCTAAGGGAAAATACTATGCAAGTTGATCTACAGATTTCACACAAAATCCCCAACAGATTCTCTGTAGAAATTGAAAGGCCAATTCTAAAAGTCATCTAGAAATGCAAGACTTCCAGATAGCCAAAAAAAAAAAAAAAAAAAAAAAAAAAAAAAAAAAAAAAAATCCTGAAAGCAAGGGAGAGACAGAGAAAAAAAAAAATGTAAGGATTCCTATTTCTCAATTTCAAAAGCTGTTAGAAAGACACAGCAACTAGGAACTGCAACAGTGGGCACCATCAACAGACATCTCAGACTGTAATTCAGTATTCTGCTGACATGGTGGCACACGTTTATATACCAGCACTTGAGAAGCAGAGGCAGGAAGATTGGGAGTTCAAGGCAATCTCAGCTATATAGCAAGTTCTAAGATAGTTTTGGCTACATGACACCATATCTTGAATGAATGAATGAATGAATGAATGAATGAATGAATGCTTTCACTCTTAAGGCCAACTGATTCTTCATAGAGCTGCAAGGCAATTCAATTCCCCCCCCCACACACACACACAAAGTAATTTTACTTTATTTCATTTATTAGGATAGCAAATATTAAAAAACAACACACACACACACACACACACACACACACACACACACACACACACACACACAAAAGCA